TTTGCTTTAATAATGTTTTTTATTTTATGTTTTTTAGAGAAATACTTTTACAACAAATTTTATCAATTTTAATTAAAGTTAATTATCTCTATGTTCATTAAACATGCAAGTGAAAATGTGACCACATTCAATTGAAAAAGCAAAAATTCTCTTCTAATTTTAAAAATTTCACTTTTAATTGCATGAAACTAAGAATGCAACACAAAAGAATTGAAAGATTCTAGAGCAAGCATGAAAATTGAGTATTTGTTTTTTTTGGCCAAATTTTTTACAACGTGAAAACATAATTCATCTCTCCTATAGCCTTTTTTTTTTTTTTTTATGTTTTGGGGTAAATACTCTCCTAAAGAATTAATTATGTATTTTTCTAATAAATTTTAATTAAAATAAAAATAATGATTGTAGAGTGATATTGTTAAAATGATTAATATCTCTTATCTAGTGGGGGAGAGAAAACAAATAAGCTTTTTGCTAAATAAGTTTATCTAAGCACTGCATATTATTTCTTGGTTAAAAGCTTTGGATTGCCCACTTGAGGACGCCTCACCCTTAGCACCGCCTTAATTTATGGGTGTGGTTTGTATAAGGTTGCCTCCTTATACTAAGGTGTTTTGTAGCTTCAAAATCTCTTTTTACTAAGTTATAAAATTTAAAATTTTAAAAATGATATTGATCGAACAAATCTATAAATACTTGAAAATCTTGAAAATAGACTATCCAAATATACAAGATGCATTATTTTTTTTTTGACTTGGAACTCTTTTTTTTTCCTTTAGGTCCATTCAACTCAAGGTCGAGATGATCAGTTGGAGGGTTCTCCTATGTGGGAACAATCTTCATTGTAGGATTTTTGAGGTACCTTAACCTTATATAAACTTTTTCATTAATTTATTGCATTAATTTCTTATTTTTTTGGGATTGGAAAGTTTTGCACAACCGTTTATTGCATTCTAAAAAGCCAAATATGCTTCTTCAGTTATTAATAACAATCAATGATCTAAAAACCGGAATTGATTACCAAGTCAATGATCTAAAAACCGGAATTGATTACCAAGTCAATGATCTAAAATCCGGAATTGATTACCTAAATTGGATCGGTGGTTCGGATATGACTCAAGTTAGTTAGGTTGGCCCGGTATTAAGGGCCAAAAAAAAAACAAAGTTAGAAAATCATTAAAAAAATTTAAAGATCAATTTACCATGCTTTGTGAAAAATTGATGGTAATGTTACTCATTTTGATGAGATTACAAAAAAATACTTAAATACTAAGAGTTTGGTACTTATATGATAACCACATTTTCATTTCACAGTTTAAAATAGAGTAAACAACATTAATAAGATCGATATGGATAGTCAAACATAAAAAATAAGTAAGCATGTCAAAATATATAATCCACAGCTAATATGAACTACGAGGTGACTAAAAATCATCCTTATAATTGTGATCCAGATTTGGGGTGGCAATGGACCTGAACACGACCCGACCAGGCCCGCAGGGTATACCTGACACGGGTCTGAGTATGGGGCCAACATACCTAGCAGGTTGGATCCGAGTTCAAAACCTGGACCTAAACATTATTCGGGTTTAGGTCCAGGTCTGGTTGGATCCGACCGACACTCGTAAACTGTTGGAGATAAAATATTTCAAGCTATAGTCGTTTGGATGTATTAAGGATTGTATACAATAAGAACTCATAGTCATCTTTAACAATTAAACAACAAATTAGACTGCTTATAATCCAATGGCAGGTGATTGTGACATTATTGTCAATAACAAGAGTATATGGTGTTAAAAAAAGGGCAAAAAAAAAAAAACTCATAGTGAGGATGGCAATGGACCCGACCAGACCCAGGACCTGACGGGATAGACTCAAGACTTGAATACAATTCGGGTTTGGGCCCAGGTCCAGCCGGACCCCAACCGTACCCAACCCGTTGCCACCCCTACCAAATCACTGTCATGCCTCTTAATGAATTGATTGATAAATTACTTTGGGGAGTTTTGGGATCTTGAGAACCAAGCTTAATGTATCTACAATATCGGGAGTACAAGTATGGCAAGGCATACCCCAATCCCGAATTACCCAAGTTTAGTCTATACTCCGTGGTCGCCTCCACCCTAGCTCAGCCTTATAGTCCCTCGTTTTACCACGTACATCTATCCAAGTTGCCTTGGAAGAAGTGAGAAAACTAGGGTTAGAGAGAAAGAGAGAGTAGGGGTTAGGGATTACAGCAAAATGGGAGAGATTGACGATAGTCTAGGCCATGCCTGCAGAGCACCCAAAGCGGGAGAGGACTATGAGCCATGAGAATAAGGGTATGAGAGTGTAGATGGTCCATATACCATGGTACATAAACCATTCCATGCTCTTATTAAGATCGGGAGGGGGCACGGCCTGCACATACAGGTTTTACCTGAAAAGCTCACCCATAGACCATTAATCGTGATCCTTTCACCATTTTTTCCAAATTCCCCACCCTTTCCCTTTTCACGGAGAAAGAGAGAGAGATTTTAACGGCGGGAATCAATTGTAGAAAGAGAAAATATTTGTACTTTTGTAGTTTAATAGCCAATAATTTATGAGAAAGGGATTAGGAAACTCGAGAGTGCACAAATAATAATCCCATATTCGGTGTTTGCATTGTCAGGTAAGGGGTAACTTAGAAAAAAAAAAAATAGCCACCGGTGGGTGGGGGTAGTGCTCATAATTTCAAGCAAATGAGACACCAAATGGTAATTGATCCCTTTTAATAGTGTCCGCTCGTTAATTTGTTCTAAAAAATACATATAGGGTTAGGAGCAAATTTACATCATCTAGTTCAAGCCACCTAAGTGTGATAAATTACCAAGTTACCTTTAGTTTTAGTCAAGATTTGAAATCTAGCCCACATTTTTAGGCATCTTGTAACAAAGTTGTTAAAGATGAATTAAGAGTGAATTGATTTTTTTGTTAAATAATCACTTAATCACTTTCATGAAAAATTGCTTGATTTATCCATGTTTGAGGTGATTTGATTATGATAATAATATTTTGTTTCGGAAAGGGATAATATACAAGGAGACCATTTACTATTGCTACAAGGTGATCACCAATTAGTTATAACCATCCCATGTGAAATTTGATAACTTGGATGAGAAAATTTCTTTTGAAGTTTGAGCTTGGTCAATGAAATAATTGCAACCACCCAATTTCACATCCAATGGTCAAGATTAATGTGGTCAGGAAAAGTAAATGATCTCATTTTATACTTTTCCTTTTAGAAAACTATTTCATGGGAGTTGGACTACATTTCTCTAATATGCAGTCCCCAGGTATAAAACATCCATCTTAAAGATAAAATGAAATAGGTAGTTAATCTAAAAACAATTGAAAATAACAATCCAAATGTTTTCTTCATAAAATTAATATTTTTATTTCTTAAATTTATTATTTATTTTTATTTTTTATATTCACAATCTCCATGTTAGAGATTACATGTTCTAAAGAATTGGGTCAAAAAATCCATCTCAAAAATAGATTTTTAATATTCCACTCAGTTCTACATAGACTCATAGAAATCTTGTTGTCTTAGGATGAGGTTTCTATACAAGTTAAGCTTTATTAAAACAAAATAAAACCTCACTTCAAACCTCACTTAAAATCAATTTTCAACACCAACAACATTAAAAAAAAAA